AGCTCACAACTCTAGAATGTTGTAGAAGCAGTGAGGCTTCTTAACTTTCTCACAGGAGTGCATAGAAAATAGGCTGAAATATTATTAGATAGCATACAAATTGAAACAACTGACAATTATAAAAATTCCAGAGCATTCTAAAGTTGCCACCATGAAAGCAAAATAAAATCATTTAGCTGATGCTGCATCTCGACAGGCAGCATTAAATAGCCAAATTGTTTAGACCAGAGGATTCTCCTTGCTTCCCATTAAATCAATGAAATACTCACTTTTGCAGTTCCAATGGACAGCTGCAGAAGGAAAAAAAAAAAGATATGGCAACAAAAAAGGGAAAACTTTGATCCAGACAAACAGAGATGATCCCAATCAGAAACCAATCTTATCTCTACAGACTCAATTACCTATACTTTAATATGTACAAGAGCTAACACATTGGGGTTTTTAAAAGATGATTTCATGAAGTCAACAATCCTATATAATAAAGAGCTAATATGCTAATTAGACCGGATGGCGGAACGACCTTCTGGATGACTTTCTGGAATGACCAGTGGGTGGGGCCGCAAGGCAACCAGGGCTGCAAGGGCTGAGCCCCTTGCACAAATTTCATGCATCGGGCCCCTAGTATTACTATAAACTTTCTACTGTGGCTCATAAAGTATATAGTAGATATTCTATCGGTCCAAATATAACCCTGGAAAATCATTGCAAGGTTCCCATGGACATTTCCCACTTCCTTTAGATTCTTTTGAGGTATGATGATTGAATTTTATCCAAATGCCACTATCCCCAGAATACGAATATGTGTTAGTTATGGTTTGTATGTTTTCACACTGGGTTGAGGCATTCCCTTGCAGAAGAGCAACAGCATTAACAAAGGTACGTTATTATTGGAAAAAATTAATTCTCAATTGGGGAATTTCCTCTGAGTTACCGTGACTGAGGGACTCATTTCAAATAATGTAATCCATTTGTAATGTTTGTCCTAGTCTACAGTATTTTCATTGTGCCTATCACCCCAGTTCTCTGGATTTGTGGAACATACAAATGGTACAATTAAAACTTGGAAACAGCTTAAGTGCCTGCCAGCAGATGAATGGATTAGAAAACTGGTACATCTACACAATGGAATACTATGCTGCTATAAAAAAGAAAGAATTCTTACCATTTGCAACAGCATGGATGGAACTGGAGAGCATTATGCTAAGTGAAATAAGCCAGTCAATGAAAGAAAAATACCACATGATCTCACTCATTTATGGATAATTAATCCCATTATAAACTGATGAACAAAAATAGATACAGAGGCAGAGCAGCATCGAACAGACTGTCAAACTACAGCAGAAAAGCCAGGAAGGGTTGGTGGGGGAGGTAAGAGATCAACCAAAGGACTTGTATGCATGCATATAAGCATAGCCAATGGGCACAAGACACTGGGGGGTAGGGGAGACCAGGGGAAGGTCAAGGGGGAAAAAAAGGGAGACATATGTACCACACTTTGTAATATTTTAAGCAATAAAACAAACAAACAAAAAACTTACCTAGGTAACTTTTCAGAAGTTTTTAATCACCCTTGGCCAAAAACTCTTCTTATAGTTCTCCTCAAGTTGAAATCTACTTCTTTTGGTAAGCACATAGGTTTTCTGCTCATTATATAGTCATTGGTCTCCCTATGCATCTAGATGAAGGGACATATGAATCAACCTTACTAAAAGGAGACATTCTGTATTATTATCAAGCACTTATTAACCAGGCTATAGAGACTGATAAATTAGTGACATTCATTTCACATGTGTGTTCCCAAAGGACAAAGACTTCAAAAATAATGACTTATATTGTCCATTGGAAAGACATCAATTAAAGACTCTCTCCAACATTGTTGAAAGAGACCTTATCAAGTGCCTAACTGGGAATGGACATCTGCCCTGTCTCTGACACTTGCCTTCAGCAATCAAAGAGGATGAGAAGTCACTGACATCAGAGATAGACTGCTATGCCAAGACATAACAAGGCCTGTATACTTACAAACTGATATTGAACTTTATTAGTTTTATAGTATTTACCTGTCTGCTAATATTAGTCATAATAATAATTATATTTTTTCTTCTGACTTTTCTCAAATCTTGTGTATATTGCCCAACTGTTAATAATTTTTAAAGTTAATTTGACAATATTTGTAATATTAATAATACTCTTTTTATGGTTAATAAGAAGCTAGGAAAATTCCTTGGCAAGTGGAACAGGAAAACTGAGACAGATAGATGAACACACTAGCTGAGCAATTTACAGCCAGATACAGAAGGTCACCAGGGCAGAAAACCCCTGGTGCCTAGCAATGGGCAAAACTAGTGCCATACATTGCCTTCCGGGTGGCCTTTTCTCCCCTGGCAAATTGCTGGTCGTGTGGTTTATACCTTGCCCTGACTAGTCAGTGGAGACCATGACCCTGAAAGGGCACACCTGAGAAAGCTGATGAATATTCCCTGAGACATCCCATAAAATCTCCACCTTTGGAAAGGAGATAAAAACCCTCAAGACAAAGCCAACCAATGCATTTCTTGGGGCATGCCCACTTACATCTCCTTTTCAAGTGATTTTTTTTTCTCCTAAACTCTAAGTGGTCCCCATGACACATGTAACCAGGGAGCAGTGGGAAGCAACAGCAGCCCATCCTTAACCTCCTGAACTTGTCTCCAAGGCCCCTTTTTTCAGACTCTCCAGTGAGCTGACAGCAGTCCCACCTGGGCTCACTTCTTTCCCATAACATTTCTAGAGGGACAAAGCAGCCCTGCCTAGTCTCTTTCCTATTGCTTCTTCTATCCTACACCTTTCTTTCACTGTTCCCAGCTTTAATACCTGGGTCTTAAAATTACCTGGTCTCATGTTGTGAAATACTTCCTGCATGAAGTCAAGAACTCACATGCCACCGGCTGTCCTTAGGCAAACCCACTCCAGACCTGGCCCCGTTTCTGGTAACATTTTGAAATTGAGAATTAATGTTATTTGGGGGGGAAAAAGGAAAGGAAAAGAATTGTTGGGTTGGGCTATGTACTTGGTGTCTCTGAACATCCTACTCAGTCTCAATGCTCTTCTTTCTTTCCTTCCAGTTGTAGAGCTTCCACTGGGCCAGCTTTCCCATGGTTCCGTATGATAGCTGTTTGTCCTATAGTTGGTAGTTTTGATGTTGTTGTGGGAGGCAGCATGCACAGGTCTCTTCCTTACGCCGCCATCTTGGTTCTCCTGGGTCTGCTTCTTGAGTGTGTCTCCCATGGGTGCGAGGAGTTGAAGTCTGCAATTTGTTGGGTTAGGCTGCAAAAGCGCAGGTGGGTCTTTTTGTGCACCTGGCACAGCTTGGATGGGGATGTAAATTGAGTAGGGCGGGGTTTTAAGCGAGGTTAAAAGTAAGTAGTTTGTTCTAGTAATTTGGTTATTTCTGAATGAGTAAAAAGAGACAAACCAAGGGGAGAACCAAGATGGCAGCGTAGGGAGTAGACCTGTGAGTGTTGCCTCCCACAACATCAGTGAAACTACCAACTATAAGACAAACAACCACCATTCAGAACCATGGGGAAGTTGGCCCAGTGGAAGTTCTACAACTGGAAGAAAAGAAAGAAGCGCTGTGAGACTGAGTAGGAGCTACAGAGGAGCCAAAAACAGAGGTACACAGTCGCGCGCCAGGCGGGCTGCAACTGGATGCATGTCTTTTTTTTCAATCGGATTGCGCGGGGCGGGTCTCTGAGGGCCTAGACCCCATGCAGAGAGGCGGCACAGCCTAGCAGGGGTCAGAAAGCGAGGGAGGCTCTGGCGCGCAGCTGCTCGCCGGCACTGGGGGACGCGAAGTCCCGGTGTCCCGAAGAGGCGAGGAGCCACGGAGATGCCGCCATTGCTATTTGCTCCGCCCTGGCGGCT